TGCGTGCTTGGGGCTGGGAGGAATGTTGATTTGGATTCAGACTTTGATTCACATGTAGATAATGCGTATCTGATTAAAGTATGTCCACACGCAAGATTGGACGTGTATGCTAACTACACATATATATATGTATGTGTGTGTGTGTGTGTGTATGTGTGTGTGTGCATATTTCAATTTGTGTATCCGTGGATATATTCATTTGTCATTTGTGCACTTTTTATTTTTCACTTTGTGATTTTGTTTCTACTTTTTTTTCCCCCTCTTCCTTTCTTTTCTCTCTTCACAAGTACCGCCGACAGAAAAGCGAGGCGTTCTGGAGCGGAAATTCTGAGAGCAATTTGCGGGATCAGACGAGGTCGTGCGAGGGCGAGGCGGCGCGGCGTCGTTAGCAGGTCGTCGTGTGACCGCCGCGGCCGCACGCGACTCCGCCTCGCCGCCGCCGCGAAAAGATGGCGGAGACCTCCCTTCGTTTCCTTGCTTTGCTTTTCATACCATTTTCTTCTTTTTCCAGTCTTTTTTATTGTCCTTATTGTCTTGATTTATATATATTTTGTACATTGTATAATGGGCGTGTTTCTGTGTATGTATCTCTTTATCTATGCATTCGTATATGCGTGCATGTACATGCGTGAGTCTATATACACATATATATACATACATATATACATACATATATATATATATGTATATATATATATATATATATATATATATATATATATATATATATATATATATATACATACATATATACTGAACATAAATGTATCGATTTTATCTCATTATTCTCATGCTTCGCCTTCGCCTGCGGAATGTCACGTCAGCAAACCTCCCGTAAACCGTGATTTAAGTAACAAAACACGGCGTGCACCTCCGTAGACTTCGGGTACGCCAGGCTATTGACTGTAAAGGACAACAGGTCAGATTCGGTGAATAACCTGACCTTTAAGGGAAGGATTTACTTCTTTTTAGGTCGACGTAAAGCACTATTTTTTATGATGTTGAAACTGATTTGCCGACAAATCCCATGGTATTACATTTTGTTGATATTTAAAAAATGCCTTCAATTTTTGGGGGAAGAGAGTAGTGTAGTTGGTGAATTGTTTTTTCTTTCTACATCTTTGCGCATTTAATGCGGTATTTTAAACTCGATCTTCTCTACTCTTTTGTTCTTTTATTTGAATATACGTTTAATGCTTTAATGTTGTGTTTCTAAACAACTTAGAGCGATTTAAGGGGTGTTAAACACACGGCCCGCGGCATATTTGCTATTTTAGTCTTACAGTCGGTCGTTTCACATGATTAATTAAGCTTTTCCTTCGTCTTTTACGATTATCACTTACGTCAACTATATAGCCTTCTACTGCCTTGATAAGATGTGATGTTCGTCTACTATGATTATTAGGGCCACATACTGTATACTAAGGTGTTTTCCTTGGGCTAAATGAGGCTAACAACCCTAATTTAAGGTGAGTTAAGTTATTTCAAGAATCATCATTATATACGTGTGAATTAGTGTCACATACGTCCACCGCATACCCACGCCCCTTACCCAGCCCACCTCCGCCCTGTGTAGTACTACATACACTGCACTCCTCCCCCCCCCCACCATCCCCTTCCCCATCTTTTGTACTTCAAACAACTAACCAATGCCTTCCCCCCACCCCCTCCTCCTCCCCCTTCCCCGTTATTAGTACTACATACACTGCATACCCCCCTCCCCCCCGCGACCATATCTGTTTCGGCCTCTTTGTTACGATAGTATTATGTCTGTTCGATGATAGACAGGCACCGGATCGATCAATTGGCCGACGTGATGTACGATAACCTATATTTTTTTTTGTCTGTGATGTTTCTCGTTTGTCTGTTTGTCTGTTCGCGTGTCTGGGTTTCTTACTTTTTGTTGTTGTTGTTTTTGTCTGTCTAGACTGTATGTTTAGTTAACTGGTCATTTTGTTGTCAATATGTATATGAATTTCACGTGCGCTTGTGTATGTTTGCGTGCGTGTATTCGTGCGTGTTTTTGTATGTATGTATATGCGTCTGTATGTGTTGTTTTGTTATTTATTTGAGTAATTGTTTACATATATACATTTTTTTTCTTTCACAACAGCGTGTTGGCGTGCCTTTAAAATGATTAATGTCCCTTACATTATATTAATGAACCTATTCCGACCGTTATATAACATCTTTTACACACACTCTCCCTCCTCATCGTCCCCGCCCCTTCCCCTTCCAACCAACCATTTCACCCCCCCCCCGACCCCCCAACCTCACCATTCCACCCCCCTTCCCAACCATTTCACCCCCCCACCTTTTCACCCCCCCACCATTTCACCCCCTCCCGCCAACCATTTCACCCCCTCCCCCCAACCATGTCACCCCCTCCCCCCAGCCATGTCACCCCCTCCCGCCAACCATTTCACCCCCTCCCCCCCAACCATTTCACCCCCACCCCTTATCGCGCGAAAGCTGGTCATGCAAAAATCGTCCACCTTAGCGTGAGGACAAGACGACCTTGTGAAGGTCAATAAAGAGTGGGGGGGTGATTGTGGGGCGGGATGGGGGGGGGAGGGTAGGTATATGACCTTTACAATGTGCTCTTAGTAAGGAAGGAAGGAAGAACGGGAAAAAAATGTCAATAAAAAAACAATTGGAAAGAAGGAGAATAGACGAAAAGGAAAAAAAAATAATGGCATGCAAATGAGATGCAAAGGAAAGAATACAATAAAGAAGATATTTGAAGAATGTTTGTAAGGATAAAGTTCTATAGTTCTTCAGAAGGGTGGCGCAGCGGCAGTCACGATACACAAAGGAGGGCAAAGTAATTTCCAGATGTTCTGACGAAAGGGAAAGGTCGAGAGAAAATCAAAATTTGGACGTATACACACATACGCACATACATACACATGTGCGTAACATACATTACATACATAACGTATGTACTGAATAGTGTCGAGTATGTATACAGACATTTAATCATTGCCATATGGAAGTCAACACGAATCCATACTCACACAAAAAAATAATAAAATGCGGAAGAACAGACAAGGAAGAAAGTAAGGTAATGTGCGTAAAGGAAAATTATTATTAGGAAGAGATGATAAAAGATAATGATCTGACGTAGGAGAATCAGCAAATAGCTAATTAGAATAAAAGCGACCCAAGAGAGGGGCTAGGAAAAGGAAAAGTAAATAAACAAAAATAATAAATATGTATATAAATGCGCGCGCGTGCATGTGTGTGTGTGTGTGTGTGTGTGTGTGTGTGTGTGTGTGTGTGTATGTGTGTGTATGTGTGTGTTCGTGTACATAATTGCTATAACCACTCATTTATCACAGAAGACAGACAGCCTTTTATGCCTCGACATTTGGCGTGGAAGGCAAAAAAAAAAGGAAAAAGAAAAGAAATCTGTTTAGGAGAATTTTCAGCATCTTTTGTCTTTCGTTTCTAATTAAAGCCTTGCGCTGCATAGGCTCTGTGGGAAGTAAACTTATGGGACTGGATAGCGTGCACAATCGGGTTATGAATCAATTAATGGTTTTATCTTTATAATGATTTTCTTTTTCTTTGCTGTCTGATGTGAAAAAAACAAAATAAAAACAGTCCAGTGTACCCATCGTAAGTTCCTCTCTCTCTCTTTCGAAAACGGGATTTTAAAAGATGATAATAATGATAATAAATGATAAACACAGATTAATAAGTGAAATCAAAATAAATTGAAACAAAATCAAGAAAGAATTTAAAAATAATAATAATTCGTCAACGGTTTTGGCACACGTTACCAAAGGACTCTCGCCCTTATCAGCCGCCACGTCGCCGGAATTAGCGCGGGAAATTCAAAGGCCCGGAACCGAGACTCGAGCTTAACATAATGTTGACTTTGTGATAGCGGGAAGGATAACGCTGTTGTTGTTGTTGTTGTTGTTTGTTGTTGTCATTGTCGTTTTTTGTTGTTTAATTTGTTGTTGTTGTCATTGTCGTTTTTTGTTGTTTAATTTGTTGTTGTCATTGTCGTTTTTTGTTGTTTGATTTGTTGTTGTCGTTTTTCTTGTTGTCGTTTTTCTTGTTGTTTTAGGGGCGGGGGCAGAGCAGTTTCAGAGGAAACGGAATGAAGGTTGTTTGCATATTAGCAATGTAGGAGATATAGAAATATAAATAATTCATACCGAAAATCACAGTGACAATCATAAACAAAAATCAAAATCCAAATTGCGTTATTGATTAAACATAAAAAAAAGATACCTATCTGTTATTGTCTTTTCATGATTTAACAATTCTATGATATAATTATTTTTTTTTCCTTTTCCCGATGACGTGATCCCAGTCCACAGATTTGATTTTTTTGTTTTTTTGTTTTTTTTTTCTGTTTTTCATTGTTCTCTGATTCGTTTCATTTCGGGTAATTTCGGCCATTAGTGTTTTATGAGACATTTTACTACGTCATAACGGACAGGGGATGATAGTTTGGATTCATTTGCTTTGATTTTCATTTTACCCTCTCTCTGTCTCTCTTGTTCTCTCTGTTTCTCTCTCTTTCTTTCTTTGTCTGTTTGTATGACTGCCTTTCTCTCTCTCTCTCTCTCTCTCTCTCTCTCTCTCTCTCTCTCTCTCTCTCTCTCTCTCTCTCTCTCTCTCTCTCTCTCTCTCTCTCTCTCTGTCGTTCGCTCGCTCTCTCTCTCTCGTTTTCTCTCCCTCTCTCTCTCGTTCTCTCTCTCTCTCTCTCTCTCTCTCTCTCTCTCTCTCTCTCTCTCTCTCTCTCTCTCTCTCTCTCTCTCTCTCTCTCTCTCTCTCTCTCTTTCTCTCTCTCTCTCTCTCCCTCTCTCTCTCTAATCCACTAATCCCCCTTCTAATCGCCCTCTCTCTCCCTCTCTCTCTCTCTCTCTCTCTCTCTCTCTCTCTCTCTCTCTCTCTCTCTCTCTCTCTCTCTCTCTCTCTCTCTCTCTCTCTCTCTAATCCTCTAATCCCCCTTCTAATCGCCCTCTCTCTCTCTCTCCCAG